GTTGGTTGGTTTTGTCTTGTTACAGCACTACTCCTGCCTCAGTTTCCCAAATGCTGGGGAACTGCAGTTGTGAGCTGTTCTTAGTTAACTTTCTGATTTTGAAAACTTGGGCTGGGCAGTAGTGGCCTTTAATTAAAGTAGGACCTTTAATCCCAGCACTCGGGAGGCAGAGGCAGGTGGATCTCTGTGAGTTCGAGACCAGCCTGGTCTACAAGAGCTAGTTCCAGGACAGCCTCCAAAGCCACAGAGAAACCCTGTCGAAAAAAAAAAAAAGAAAGAAAGAAAGAAAAGAAAACTTGGTGTCTGGGCCTGTCTCCTCATTCATGATGTGTTGGTTTCCACCTTCAGAAGTTATGTCAGAACTAGAAGCATCTGCCATTGGGTGAGCTTGGCCTGGAGCTCCTGCTCTTTGCGTGGCGTGCCGGCACTGTCAGAATTGCTAAACTTGATGCCTCTGTTTGGTCCAGGCGCGGTTGACCTGCCCCTGCTGTAACACTCGCAAGAAGGACGCAGTGCTTACCAAGTGCTTCCACGTTTTCTGCTTCGAGTGTGTGAGGGGCCGCTATGAGGCCCGCCAGAGGAAGTGCCCCAAGTGCAACGCGGCCTTTGGTGCCCATGATTTTCACCGTGTGTACATCAGCTGAACCTGAACCTCAGGGGACTTTGAAACATCCATATACCCTAGGGGCTGTGCCCCAGCTCCCCACTCCCCAGGGGCAATGGCCCCAGCTTCCTTTCCAGACTCCATGAACCCAGCCCTATGTACCTAGATGGTTTGGGGCTACTGGTGCATGCAGGAGAGGTGGAATTAACCAAGCTGAGTGCCATCTTTTCCTGAATGTCAGATCTGCAGCCTAGGGCACTCTCCCAGGTTTATAACATCCAGCCTTGAGAGCTGGCCTAACCCTGTTTCTTCTGGAGAGACAGATCCATCCTTACCCCTAAAGAGGAATTCTTCCACCAGGAAAGGGCTTACCACCTGCCTCCACAAACTCAGTGATGAGCAAGCATTGAGTCTTGGGCCCAGGGAGCCTTTCTTCACCTACTTGGCTCCAGGCCTGGGCGGGCTTTAGCCTTCCTGTGCCCTGGTGTAGCTTTTGTTCTGAAGAAGGTGCAGCTTTGGGTGTCTACCCTATTCAGGGAAGCTCTGCAGTTACGGACACTGCCTCCACATCTTGTTGATTCAGGGTCATCAGTCTCTTTTAGCAGACACTCTTCCCCAGCCCTCTTTCCCTTCCTCACACATTCTGATGCTCCCTTGAGCACCTGGCCCTAGCCCTGCTTTCATCCTGGTGGTCTTAATTGTAGAGGTGCAGCTTGCCAGAAGGGAAGGGACAATCTAGCACTTCCAGTCATTCCAAGGTAGAGCCTTGCCTACTGTCCTGTGGCTAGCCTGTACTCAGAATCTCCCTGCAGGACTGGCCTGAACAGACTCCTCAACAGTGAAGATGGGACCCTGTGGAGCTGGGAGATGGCGTTGCAGATAGTTACAAGGTCTTTTGGACTCACAGCCTCTGCTCTAGAGGTGTTGTGTATGGGCTGCTAATTGTTATGAATAAAATACCCAACCCTAGGTTGCAGAGTAGCCAGTCCACTTGGTCTAAACATAAATCTAGGTGCTACACCTGGCTAATACTTCCCTGGGTTGGTGTGGATCTAGGGTTGGGAGCAGGGTACATTTGAGAACCCGCTCCAGCCCACCCAACAACTTCGTGGGTCCCAGTGAGCAGTGGCAAGCTTATCTGCAGAGACCTGTTTCAAGGAGCAACCAGCTCATACTGGAGAAGCCCTTGGTTAAGGGTTGGCCACGCCCTTAGCGGTCATTGGCTGTTCAGATAATAGCTTTTGGGTTGTATCCTGGGAGATGTAGTTCTGCTCGAAGTTCGAGGTTTCCCTCTTGTGTGGGCTAAAGGCGGGTAAATCCTTCAGTTTGTTACTGGCTGGCTTTCCCCACCCCTACTCTGCGAACACAGACCATGACATCTCAGCACGATGACTTTTCATTGTAGCCTCTTCCGGCCACTATCTGGGCCCTTGGAAACCGTTTGCCCAAAGGTGTAACGTTGTTTCTGGATTCAGAGTGCTGTCGGCTCCTCCGGTGGAGCTTTCATGGAAGTCACGCTGGGACTAGCGCCATGGCCGGTGCCGAGCCGGGTCGGAGTGGGTGTGGAAGCGGCAGTCATACCCATGGTAGTGGCCTCAGGCTTAACAATAGCAGTGCCTTCTCAGGGCTCTTCGGCCTGTTCTGCCATCTTTCCTTCGTGAGGACTCCCGGCCCTCTCTGCTTTCTGACCCCGCCTGATTTCAGTGGGGTCACAGTGGCTGAACCAAGTTGGACTGGAAACAGAAATACGGGCTACGGTGCTCCGGTGACCTCGGGAGTGGAGCTGACAGCAATGGGGACTCTCGCGGAAGCATGAGTCTCAGCAGGGGATGACATTGGGCCACCAAGAAAGCCACCCTGACTGGAGTGCTGGGATAGTTAAGGTGGGAGAAACAGGGATTTGCATCCTAGAGACAGCCACCCGAGCTAGTAGAGCTAGTTCTGAGAGGTCTGTGCACCAGCTCATCACTAGCGCTCTCCAGCATGATCCTCCTAAGTCATGGCCACTTAGGCGCCTTAAGTAAATGCACACCTATTCCCTCAGAGGCAAGTCCTCGTACGGGTTGGGGTAGTGAAACCTTCATGAGTGGTAGTAACACCTAACAGTAAAAAGTAGAGTATACCACTTCCTCATATCACACTCAAAGAGATGGGCTAAAGGTTCCAGGGTCCCAATGCCTGGAGAAGTCTTCCCACCTCAACGGGGGAGTGAAAACAACTATCAGTCTGTCACACGGGTGCAGGATCTGTCTTAAATGGCTGATAAGCTGCTTTGCTTGTCAGGGTCCCAGAGATAGATGAGTCAGAATTCTTCCCCTGGCCAAGGCAGGCAAGCTGGAGTTAAAGCACACCCTCGGCATTTGGTGGGGACTACTCCCAGAGCTTACCCCAGGCTTTTGGTGCTGCATTCAACCACCTGCCTCATGATCTCTTCCTTCAACCATAACCAGACTTCCCTTTGCACCTAGCCTTTCTCCGAGGCATTTATTCAGGGACAAGACTACATGCAAGCCACCGAAACCCAACCCCTGCAGTTCTTTCCCAAGCTCCAGACCTGAGAATCCATGTTTAAGTCATGTGAGGGACTGTGTGATTCAGTGTCTCACAACACTAACCTTCCCTCAGGCTTTGGCCTCTGTTCTGGCTGCATCTCTCTCCATCCTCATGTACTAAACCAGTGCTTCTCTACCTTCCTAACACTGACCCTTTTAATATAGTTCCTCATGCTGTGGTGACCTCTAAGCATGAAATCATTTTCTTTTCCTTTTTTAAATACTTTATTTAACTTTATTTTATGTGCATTAGTGTAAGGATACCAGATCCCCTGGAACTGGAGTTAAGACAGGTGTAAGCTGCCATGTGGGTACTGGGAATAGAACCCGGGTCCTCTGGAAGAGCAGCCACTGCTCTTAACCACTGATCCATCTCTCCAGCCCCACCATGAAATCATTTTCATTGCTGCCTCATAACTATTATTGCTGTTCTAAATCATGATGTAAATATTTGTTTCAATGGTCTTAGGTGACCCTTGTGGATAGGCTGTTCCACTCCCAAAGGAGTCATGACCCATGTTGAAACCCGCTGCTCTAATTCCCAACTGTTTGACTCCTCTGTCCCCATCCCACTCCTGATTTCCATGCAGAGAATTCCCTATTCCTGAAGCCCCTATACTCTGGAACTACTTGTGCCGGGTGTCATCCAGCCCAGTATGGCAGGCATGACCTCAGCCTTTAAATCAGTTACTGCTCTGAGCCCTCTCACTGGAGTCCCTTGCCCAACTGAAGACGCTTCCAGGACAGAGGCTAGTCTTGATGATCCTTAGCGTTCCCAGGGTTGGGGACCCAGGGGCATGAAAAGGCAAGTCCCCCTCCCCAGACTACTCACCCATTCCAGGAACAGAAAGGGAGAGAGAGCCTATTCTGGGATGTGGGCTAGAGGTACCATAATGTAAAGGTTGGAGAAGTGTCTCAGGGGTTAAGAGCCCTGGCTGCTCTTCCAGACAACCTGGATTCAATTCCCAGGACCCACATGGCTGCTCACAACCATCTGTAACTCCAGATGCAGGGGATCCGTACCTTCTGTCCTTTGTGGGCACTGCAGGCACATGGATGCCCAGACACATACAAATAAAATACCCATACACATCAATTGTTTTTGGTTTTTTTGTTTGTTTGGTTGGTTGGTTTTTCGAGTCAGGGTTTCTCTGTAGCTTTGGAGGCAGTCCTGGAACTCTCTAAGTAGACCAGTCTGGCCTTGAACTCACAGAAATCCACCTGCCTCTACCTCTGGAATTCGGGGAGTAAAGGCGTGTGCTACCTGCCCACCCCCGGCCAAAGTTTTTTTTAATTAAAAATAAAGAAAGGTCAGGGATACGCCTTTCTGCCTTCAGCAAGAGCCCTTAAGAGATGAGAAGAGACAGGCTATGGCTAACGTTGCTCACAGGCAGCCCTTTAGGGGCCCATCTCGTAGTTGTCCTAACTGCCTTAGATGAAACCTAGTTTTCAGCAGGCCCAACCTCAGGAGAAAAGCCAGGGCTTGTGGGGAGGTAGCCTCAAGCCTGCAGGCCACTCTAACTTCCCACATGATTTCCTATGGGTCTGGGGTAAGTGGCTGCACTTCTAGAGCCTCAGCTTCTCCCATGAGGAGGAGCTATAGGCTATGGGACAACAAGCCAGGGCACCACACACACACACAAAGTATGGATGCTTAAAGTTCCATAAACCTGTCAACCTTTCTCAAGCAGACATTGGACAGGAAGCATAGGGCCCCTGGGAAAGGGGCAAGCTTGGGACAATATGGAACGTTTGGGGTCCTCAGGGGCCCCATTTCTGGGAGAAGACAAGTTCTGAGCTTGCCATTGGCTAAGCAAGTAGAAAGAAGAAAAACAGAAAACACCTGGGAAATCTTACTCCCTTTATTCTCTTCAACTATTCAACATGACCACTGGTGACACAACACTGTTACTGACACAAGACACTCAAAAATAGGACTTCCCTTCACTCCATAGGGAGAAGTCAAGTGAGAGGGGCTTCCTTTGTGGAGGCAAAGGATTCTGGGAGCCACTCACTTCAGACTGGGGGGTGATGATGGTTTCAAGTCCTCTCCCCAATTCATGGTTCACACCCAGTTCCTTTATGAATCCTATTTGACCTCCATACTCAACACCAATTCTAAGTTTCCCTTGAATGCAGATCAGCCCCACCCTCTCCTATGCTTGGGCTCTTCCCCGGGGGCACTTCTGAGGGCTCTGGCTCAGTATGGAGTTGGCGCCATTATGTCTTCCAGATTTTATTCCAGTAGACCTTTTCCTGAGCCAGCTAGTAGGACTGGGCCCTGCAACAGATTCTCTCAGTGGTATAGCTGGATCTGAGAGGGAGGTGGCCAAAAGAACAGGTCTCACCTCGAGGTCTCTGTCTGCCTTTTTCCTACTAGGAAGCCCAGTCCACCACCTATCCACATGGTCCATTTAGTACTGGAGTCAAGACCATAGCCCTCACTTGTCTCCAGAACATGTGAGCATCCTATCACATATGCTACATCTTAGTTCTCCATAGTCTACAGTCAGCCATGACTACATAGACCGCTTGCCCCCAGCAGACTTCTGATGACACTTTAAGACCTGGGTCTGAGGGAATCTGCTCCTAGTTTTACACAGAATCTCCCTCTAGTTTCTGCTACCACCTTAGAAGGGGACAAATCAGCTTGTACTTAGGAGAGTATCTACTCCATTTCTGTCAATATACACAGACTCCTCCCCATCTCCAAGGTGCTCCCCGACCTGGTACTTGGGACTCTAGCAAGGCTCTCTGTCTGTAGGTATATAAGGCATGCCTTTTCTCTCTTCCCAGGAGGACTGGCATTTTTCTCCCAGTATTCTAGAGTTTGGTCCTTGAAACAGGATAGATGATGGGTCTCTACTTTTTGAACTTTTAGGTAATAGAATAAGAGGTCTCTTCCACAGCTTTGTAGGGATCCAGGTCACTCTTCTGGGCACAGGACTCCTGAAGAGTCATATCACTTGGTGATCAGTCCTCCTACTCTGGATAGTATGTCACTAATGCCAGCACTGGGCTAAGGACACTCCCTTTGCAACCCAAATTCAGGGGACAGTCCTTCCCATTTTTAAGGGTGTTTGTTACTGATGTTTTTGCCAAAGTTTTTCTTCAACCACTTTTAGGGCAACTGTCTCTTCTCCATCACAGAGCTACAGGCATGTGGGCAGGTTTGGCTGGATTAATGACTCATCTAGCCTGTGATGTCTGAGGAGGAGATGGGCCTGGTAGGGAGCATTTCTCAGCCTTTTGTTTCCCTCCAATGGTTCCTGGCTAAGGAGAAAAAGGCCAAAAAGGTCAGGTGAAATCTCTCCCTTTCCCGAGCCAAGATCAAATTTGGCCACCCCATCTCAAGGGCATCCAAGTACTGGGGATGAAGAAGGTGGTCAAGTTTCCATGGCCTCTTCAAGGACTCTGGTCCAGTCTGTGCCATGTCAGGACATCCACCGAGTGCAGCCTGGCTGGCTCATCCTGCAGGCAGCCTTACAGAGTTCACACAAAAGGCTGAGGTTTACATCGTGTTGCTGGTAAATCAAAGCTGTCTATTCTGTTGTCTTGCCATCCCTCGTCACCACAGAGAACCCACAAGTGGCTCTGATGAACTTGTATAAGTCTAGGGAGGACAAGCACATACAAGCCTTGAATCTCTGAAGGAATTTATTCTTTGGAAGTTGACTAGCAGCGAGTGGCTCTCTCCACTGAGGACAGAATTCGAGGAAATGGGTTGCCACTGCAGTAAGACTTGTGGCAGTTAGCTTTCAGGTAAAACCTGAGAGACCTGAGAATGTGGCAGAGGCCCCTTGAAACCCCAGAGGCCTCTCAGAGTAGACATCTCCAGCTAGGCTGGAGAAAGACTGGTCCTGCCTGCCTGAGGAGAACCTGACAGCCTGAACTGGGACCTGCTTGCACTTGAAGTTTAACAAGCTCCCAGGGGGAGGAACTGGCTAGCTTCCATCTGCAGTTTCTCCACTGTGCTTTGCTTCCTTCAAACAAACGTAACTTTCCCCTAATAGCTGAGGTGGTTTCTCAACATTTTCTCAATATTCTTACACTTGAGATTTGTTATACACCTCAAACTCCAGCCTTTAAAATGGCTTGTCGTTTCTGCTTCTTTTCCATTTGGGGGCTTTTATTGATAAGGAACACCCCTCCCCCAGTCTTCCTTCCCCTAGTACACACAATTCACCAAAGAACCCCCAGTGCAACAGACGTCTTGTCTCACCTGTGGGTCTGGAAGCACTTAGTCATCCCCTCCCCATTTCTCTTCTCTTTCTAGCTCTACTGCGTTCCCGCACAACTTCCTCGCTGGTCACTTTCCTCTGTCCAAGGCTGCCAGGGGAGAACACTAGGAAGAGTTCAGGTGTTCCTCCACCATCCAGGGCACCTCACTAGTCAGTGCTGTCTGTATTCCCTAGACCACCACCACCCTACAGGATTCTGATAAGGACTTTGATACAGTTTTATGGGTTTGACTAGAAACATGTTAGAACCTCTTCCTACAATTAATAGGGCTTTTACCCACTATGGTTTATAGGATTTCTCTGCTACAGACTTAAAGGGTTTTTTTCCTACATATTTATAGGGCTTCTAACCCAGCAGTTCTTCTCTACAGCTTATAAGGGGTTCCCACCCACAATCTCACAGGCTTCTCATCGCTGATGCAAATACACTACTTCTTCCCAGGGTCCTTGACCCTCCACTTCTCTATGATCTGATGGGGTTGTCCTGCTTTCCCCACATTCTCAGGAGAGAGAGGTCCCTGGTCTCCAGACCTACTTCACAGGGAGACACCTGGGTGACAGCTCCTGTGGAGGAGGAGCGTTGCAACTTCTGTGAAGCCATCTCCACATTCAGGACACACATAGGGCTTTTCCTGTGAGAGAGTTTTAGGACTTTCCTCTTCCCTATGGCTGCTGCCTGGTGGGGGGGTAGAGGCCTCTCCCTCATCTTCCTGGTTTGTGGACAAGGTGGCTGACTCTGAAGGGGGGTCTTCAGGAGTGGGGGCCCTTTCTTGAGTGTGGGTTTCCTGGTGGCAGGTAAGAGCTAGTCGATCGAGGAAGGAGGCCCCACAATCAGAGCAGCTATAGGGTCTGGCCCCCAAGGGGCTCCTGAGATGTTCCAACAGCACTGAGGAGCTCTTGCCCAGCTCGGAGCTCTTCTGGGACTTCCCACCCGCATGGACTTTCTGGTGCTGCAGCAACTCAGAGCTCAGACCAAAGCTTTTTTTGCACTCCGGGCATTTAAAGGGCTTTCCACTTAGGAAGGAACTGGGCTCTGCCCCTTCCCCAAGGCCAATCCTACACTCGGGAAAGAGAAAGGGCTTTTCGTTGCCATGGGTGAGCTGATGTTGCAGGAGCACAGCCCTGTCGAGGAAGCTTTCTCCACAGTGAGAACAAACATAGCACTTTGAGGAGAGTTGACCTAGCCTTTGGCTGAAGCCCTCCTGACCCTCAGGCACTTTCAAGGACTGTCCTGGGGGGTCAGCTTTGCCCTCCGAAGCACCTGGGTGTGAATTGCCTGCAAAGGGGACCCTGGGGGAGCGGAACTGCGGAGGCTTGGGGGCCGAGTGTGCTGTGAGACCGTCTGCATTTTTGTAGGGGTTTTCTCCAATATGAATCCGCTGGTGCTGCATGAAGATGCCCTCATCATTGAAGCCCTTTCCACAGACCAGACACTTGTGGGGTTTGGCTCCTGGTGGCGGGGTCAGCAGGGAAGGATCCCCAAGCCCTAGCAAGCTGTCACTCTGAGCTCTCCGGGCAGGTGTCTTGCCTCTCTCATGGATCAAGCGGTGCTGCTCCAGCTCCTGAGCCTCCAGGAAGGCCTTGCCACAGTCCGAGCACACAAAGAGGTTCTCGTCCATGTGTGTGCGGACGTGTGTGATGAGGTTGGAGCTCTGGCTAAAGCTCTTGCCGCACTCGGGGCACTTGTAGGGTTTCTCTCCTGTGTGCGTGCGGCGGTGCTGGATGAGGTGCGAGCTTCGAATGAAGCTCTTGCCACAGTCGGAGCACTTATAGGGCTTCTCGCCCGTGTGGATCCGCTGGTGGCGGATGAGCGTGGAGCTCATGATGAAGCTTTTGCCGCAGTCGGCGCAGATGTACGGCCGCTCCCCACGGTGGATGCGCTGGTGGTTGATGAGGTTGGAGCTCACACTGAAGCTTTTGCCGCACTCGGGGCACTTGTAGGGCCGCTCACCTGTGTGTGTGCGCTGATGGCGTAACAACGTGGCGCTCAGCGTAAAGGTCTTGCCACAGACAGGGCACTTGAAGGGGTCCTCTCGTAGATGTGTCCGCTGGTGCTTGATGAGCGTGGAGCTGTGGCCAAAGCTCTTGCCACACTCCAGGCACTCATAGGGCTTCTCCCCAGTGTGAGTGCGCTGGTGCTGTGTCAGCTCCGAGCTCTGGATGAAGCTCTTGCCGCACTCGGTGCAGCGATATGGCTTCTCCCCTGCGTGGATCTTCTGGTGCTTGAGCAGGTTGTGGTTCTGACCGAAGCGCTTGCCACACTCTGGGCACTTGTAGGGCTTTTCACCTGTGTGTGTGGCCTGGTGCTGGATGAGGTCTGAGCTTCGGTAGAAAGCACGCCGGCATTCACCACACTTGTAGGGCTTCTCCCCAGTGTGGGACCGCTGGTGCTTGATGAGGTTGGTGCTTTGTGTGAAGGCTTTCTCGCACTCAGTGCACTTGTAGGGCTTCTCGCCTGTGTGTGTGCGCTGGTGCTGTACCAGATTGGAGCTCCAGCTGAAGCACTTGCCACAGTCGGGGCACTTGTAGGGCTTCTCGCCCGTGTGTGTGCGCTGGTGCTGCACCAGGTGTGAGCTCTGTGTGAAGCTCTTGCCACACTCTGAGCATGTGTTGGGCCGCTCACCTGTGTGGATGCGCTGGTGCCGTAGCAGTTTGGACCACTGGCTAAAGCTCTTGCCACACTCATTGCAAATGTATGGCTTCTCAGCCCCAGAAGGGCGGCCCTGCACTAGCTCCCGTAGGCTGGGTTCACTGGCAGTAACTACTGGGGTGCTGTTCCAGGTGGTGAGGGTTCCCCACTGCCAGTTGGTCTCACAAGCCTTGGTCCACTCAGATGGGGAAGGGACTACCTCAGGGGCTGATGGGTCCATAGTTGTCTGGTGGTCTAAGGGGTTGGAAGAACCGAGTGGGACTGGGGAGTCCTGAGGGACTGAGGCATCCTGGGAGGGGCTCTCCAGGGACATCTCTGGTGGGTCCTTGGATTCTGGACTCTGAGCTGGATCTCCCAAGATGATCTCCTCCCCAGAACTTTCCTGCTGAGGGCTCTCCTCTTCATTCCCACTTTCAGCACCTACAGACAGAAAGGGAGTCTCCAGCCCCCATCTCCTTTCAGAACATGGGGTCTGGTCTCTCTTCCCTCCCCTATGTTTGCCCCGAGTTTGGGCCCCTCCCTGAGCCAGGGCCACTGTCTCATCAGAGCCACAGTCCCTTGTGCCCCTCACCTCTGTGAGCATTGTTCCGGCTCTCTTCAGGACCCTTCAGATCTGGGCCCCACAGCACTGTCTCAGGCTCCATCCCAGAGCTCCCGACTTCGAAGGTTCCAGGTACTCTGGTGGGGAGAGATGGGCACATAATGCGACCTGGTTGTGTGCTTCTCTTGTGTTCCCACTTGTGTGACTCTCAGTGACCTGCCACTCATTTTTCTGGCGCCATCTCTCCCTGAGCCCTGTGGCACCAGAGGCCTGGTTCCAAACACTGCAGATCTTAAGACTGCAATGAAGCAACTCAGTGAATGTAAAGAGTCAATTAAAAACCCATCAGTCATAACCCTTTGTACCTAGATTGAAGGCTGGAGCGCTATCCAACATCCACAGGGGAGACAGGCTTTCACCCCACACATCCAACGCCCAGAGGCCTGTGCTATTTTGTAAATCAGACAAAGCTCATTAAGACTCCAATTTTCTTCCTTTATGGGACTGCTAATTGAGACCAATAAACTTTCCCTTTATGAGCTCCAGAGAGAACTGAGATTTGCACTTTTTAAAGGGTTAAAAAAAGTTTCCCTCACAAGGACCAGGGCACTTTGCCATTATCCAAGCTCAGAAAGAGGGTCAGTCTAGGGGTGGGAAAGGGAAGTCTGAGGTCAGGGGCTCCTACAGAAGACTCTATACTTGGGGGATAGAAACAGGAGGGTCACAAGTTCAAGGTCAGTCAGCTACAAGAGAGTTTGTCTCAAACAGAATGAAGGGAAAGGGGCTGAAGGAAGGTGATGAGCAAGTATGTGGAGAACACCTGGGAGGCATGGTGGCTACCAGGCGTCATTATTTCCTCATTGCCTTGGGAGACTCAGGGATCATTTGTCCATTTTACAGATTAGTGGAGAAACACGGGAGTGGGGTATGGGGTGTCCTCCAAGGCCTCTAACTGGGAAGTAACAGAGCTAAGAGCACAAATGCAGTATTCTGTGACTGGTTTGCCCCTGTGTCTGAAAGCATGAGTGACCTTGACAGTCACATGAGATTCAAACTTGTGGGCTCCTGGCAGGACAGTGAAGGATAATGGACTGGAGAAATTCCGGGGAGCAGAATTTCCTTAGTTATAAGAGGAGGAGTTGGACCCAGTGACAAGGTCTGAGAAACTGGGTCTCTGAGCTCTCGGTAATGCTGTCCCCAAAGCCATCCATTACCAGACCCACCGAGGACCCATCCTTCTGCTCTGTTCTTTTTGTCCCCGTTTTATCACATGCCTAGGACAGGTGCCCAGTAAAAACTCTGTTGGATGACTGGATGCCCTAGACACCCCTTGCTCCTGGAAACCTATTTGGTTCAATGTCTTTAACGAGTTGGCAGAGGGATGTCAGAAAGCAAGTTCAGTGTGAGCCCCCTGGGAAAGGAGTCATCTGTCGCTCTCAAAATCGAGATGACTCCCACGAGAGACAGCAGGGCCACAGGAACAAAGTGCAAGAGGGCGCTCACATTTACACATTTAACAGATCCCTGGAGTGGCCTAGACGTGGGGGGTGACAGTATGGATAGGGACAAAAGCTCTCCAGGAGGCAGCTGGTGTGTGAAGCAGTTGAAGCAACAGACAACTAGCTGACCAGTGCTAAGAGCAGCAGCAGAGGCAGAAGTGAGAGTAAAGGAAGAAATAAATTTCATCTACACAGTCTCTCCGATCTGTAGACGGAGACCACTAGAGGTGCCTCCCCGAATGGGAGAAAGGTACTCTGCCGAGTGGACCGAGGACAGGTCCAGGTACCAGGACCGAGAAACTTAAACTCAGGGGCCTACCTTAGAAGGGAAAGGGTTAATGACAAGGCCACATGCAAGAAGTAGCAAAGACAGGGAGGCGATACCTACTGGGAACCAGCCCAGGCCCAAGAGCTCCAGCCTCGGGCCCCGC